TCAGTACCACAATGGCCCCCTCCTCTCTGGCAAATTCTCCATCAACTTGATCTGGTACGGCAACTTCAAACCCTCCCAGCGTGCAATCATCTCTGATTTCATCACCTCCCTTGCTTCTCCTCCCCAATCCAAACCCACCTCAGGCCAACCATCTGTTGCCACGTGGTGGAAGTCCATAGAGAAATACTACCACCTCTTGAGTTCCAAGAAACAATATTCTCCTTCCCTCTCTTTGGGCACCCAAATCTTGGATGACAAGTACTCTCTGGGAAAATCCCTCACTGCTCGTCAAATCCAGCAATTGGCCGCAAAGGGTGCCCAGAATTATGCAATCAACGTAGTTTTGACCTCATCTGATGTTTTGGTTGATGGGTTTTGCATGAGCAAATGTGGAAGCCATAGCTCTTCCTCTAGCTCCAGCCACATTAGGGGCAAAACCCAGAAGTTTACTTACATTTGGGTGGGAAACTCCGAGACCCAATGCCCTGGCCAATGTGCCTGGCCATTCCACCAGCCCATCTATGGGCCCCAGGGCCCTCCACTGGTGGCCCCCAACAACGATGTGGGCCTAGACGGCATGGTAATCAACCTGGCTAGCCTTTTGGCTGGGACTGTGACCAATCCATTTGGAAATGGCTACTACCAAGGTCCCAAAGAGGCTCCATTGGAGGCTGCTTCTGCTTGCCCTGGGGTTTATGGGAAAGGCGCTTATCCTGGTTATGCTGGAAACCTCTTGGTGGACCCCACAACCGGTGCTAGCTACAATGCTCATGGTTCTAATGGGAAGAAGTTCTTGCTTCCTGCTCTGTTTGACCCTTCAACCTCAACTTGTTCTACTCTGGTTTGAGATATGAGAGTGCTGAAGAGTTCTTAGAGGAGATAACAATGGTTTATATGTGACATTCGGAAATATTAGGAGTATACATTATGTAGAGAAGTATAATTGTTAGGGGGATGAACTTTGTAACATACATATATTTTTTATTCTTTTTGTATCACATTTACAATAATGAAAATCTATTATTTTGTTTCCCTTTCAGTTTTACTTGACAATCTGTGATGTATTCAGAAAAAAAGCCGCATTTAACATCATATTCTTTATAATTAAAAAAAAGAAAAAAAGAAAATGAATATCAATTATACACATTAAACAATACATATCCATATATATATATATATATATATATTTGTAAATCTGTAAAAACATTATTATGTTTTGGTGAGTATGTAAATAATAATAAAGTTAGTTACGACAATGTGTTCATTCTTTTGCTGAAGTTTTGATCATCTTCCAATGAGTCAAGTCATGTTCGTTAAAACAGTGTATTCATAATTTCACCGAAATTTGATATCCCCTTGTAATTTAGCGTAATTTAGACATAATTTCTTAATTGGAAGTAATTTTTCAGAACCGTATAATGTCTCAAGCTTAAAAGAGTTGTATGAGATAGAATATGACCAAATGGCTAAAGTAATTCTCGTCATATTCATACGATGATGGGTACGAATAAACTTTGGGTGTTTGTTAAAATAGAAAGTAGGCAAGAGTGGAAAAACTTGATTGAGCTATATGCATAATTTCTGTAGCTGGGTTCGTAACAATAATGACTATCAACAAACATGTCACATAGAATTATCGTGGCACACAATAATTCTTCTTATACTATTACAGTGCATGCCCTTTCTTCTCTTCTTGATTATTTGTCTAACTTATTATGAACGTCAGTGGTGGTAGGTCCTGCCAACCAAAATTCCTTCGAGAGCACTCAACGCGGTCGAAGGAGGCACCATACAAAGACCAATATGCAGTGCAGTACATAATAAGTGTCAAGTGTGCTCCACATGCCGCAAATTTGGCAGCCATGAGCCGCCCATCAATTTTCTTCTTTAAAACTCCGGGGCCCAGAGAGCCATTCATATATAATACATTGGACACGCCAGGGCCGCCGTGGCGGTGCATCGTCTCCAATCCATCCACAAGTCTAGTGCCTGACAATTCGACCCCCCCCCCACACGTCGAGCGCCTCACTTTCCCACACACACTCTCTCTCTCTCTCTCTCTCTCTCTCTCTCTCTCTCTCTCTCAGAATATCACAAATTAGCACCGACCCACTGCCTGCCCCCCACTATCTTAAGTTTGAATAACTTTCCGACCCTTGATATATATTGTTCATCAAAATTCAAAACACTTTATATCCCCATTTTGGTTTTCCAAGGTTCTTCACCTCTACCCTAGTTTGGGTCTCATTTTGATAAAGAATAACCCCTTTTTAAAAGCCTATTTTTTTCCAACACCAATGTTTGAAGGAATGAGGACCCAACGTTTGAATACGTGTTGTCATCACATAATTTGGTCATTAAAATTTGATAAACAAATTTAGGTACACAGTTTAGGAGCCAACCTAATTAAGTTGGGTAGTTTGATTTACTGAAAACCACCTTTATCACCACTATAGCTAGCTGCCATATCTACTGAAACCACCATCATGTATATATATTGTTCCTATGTTCCATCAACCAAACCCACAAGAAACTTGGAAAGATATTTGTATGTTCCAGGTACACCACGTGATTGGTGTACCATCCAATATACATAGGACATATGTAAAAAAAAAAAAATTATATTAGGTAGTACATTAGTCACGTAGTGTACCTAAAACATGCAAAAATTACTCGAAATCTTGGCTCTTATTAATTATGTAATCTATCGATGCTCAAACTTTTGTGTTCCAATTTGATCTATTAATATTCACAAGTCGGATGTGCATAATATTATAGTGAGTTCTCTACTAATGGCCATAGGTAGCTAGAATACTAATTTACAATAAAATATACATGACCAGAGTGATAGAATTTAACCAACATGGTTGAGGATAAACATGAGGAAGATGCAGAGAAACAAGGTTACCAAATTAAAAATATCAAAAGTCAAAACCCACCAAAAGCAAAACCTTCGCAGGACAAGCCGACCTTCCCTTAATAAACCTTTCCATCGAAATATATCATATGATCTGTGCACAATGTTCATCGCAAACTAAAACCCTGTGTGCTGTGCTGCCTATTAATCCAATCCAAATCAAACCAAGTCAAAACTTAAAACCCACGCGGCTGCATTTAAAACATGCCCATCACTCACTCTCTCCACCCATCTGTTTATATATAAATACGCATTACAAGCATTCTTACAAACACCTCACAGTCATCACTCTCTGAATCACTTAAACACAAGCAACAGCTTCTAACCTTCTCATCAATGGCTTTTACTTCCCATTTGGCCATCTGGGTCACATTTTTCCTTGCCCTTTCCTCCTTCCTCGGCCCTTGTACAGCCACCATGCGCAAGCTCTCAGCTCTCGTCCAACAACAACCACTTATGCTCAAGTACCACAAAGGCCCACTGCTTAAGGGCAACATCACAGTCAATGTCGTATGGTATGGCAAGTTCTCCCCCATCCAACGGTCCATATTGGTCGACTTTGTTCAGTCTCTGAGCTCCCACCACACCCCGCAACCCTCAGTCTCATCGTGGTGGCAGACTACAGAAAGGTACAGGGGAGGGCCCTGCACCGTCGCTGTAGGGAATCAAATCCTCGACCAGACATACTCTCTCGGGAAAACACTCACGGACCAAAAACTCGCGGCTTTGGCAGCCAAAGCATCAACAGGTCGAAACGCAGCGGTCAACGTGGTTCTCACGGACGCTGATGTGGCGGTTGGGGGGGGCTGCCTGGGCCGGGGCGGGGGGCCCGGGGCCGGG